CAGTGTGAGGTTTCTGGGGACCTCCGGGTGCCTCCTCTGCACCCACACTGTCAGGCTACTTCTTCTTTTATCTAAAAAGCAAAGCAGCTAATAGTAGCTGTAAAGTTATTTATTGCAGAAGCATATCAGTCTTAAATGCAGAGTCAAAGTTAACAAAGTCCATTTCAGGTTCTAGTTCAAATTCCCAAACAGAAGCAGAAGCTTCCCGTGGTCCCAGCAGGGCCGGAGGAGCCGGGCAGCTCCTATATTCTTCGCGGGTGTTGATTTCAGCGCAGCCAAGCAAACGCAGGGCAAAAGCCGTGGCAAAAAAGCAATGGCAAAGCTGCAGTGGCAAAATGCAATGGCAAAATGCACATGGCATAAAGCCATGGCATAGAGCCCCAGCTCTCCCTGATGAATGTTTTTTTATAGAAATTTTTCAATCAGCTAAGACACAAACTCGGACCACTATTCCTTGATCTATTAGAATTCTGGTTTCTTAGTATGCCAGGCTACGTATAGACTACATTCATGGCTTATATTGTTCTAACTAAAAAATGTAAGCAATATTCTTAACTCTATTATGTCTGAAGCTAGGTTCTTGGAGCCTCTAAGGAAACACTAGTATGTTTTTCAACCTTCACTAGAACATGTACTACTTCTCAGGCGTCTAAGACCTTTTGCTTACTAAAAGCACTTAAAACTTATTCCATTTACTTACTTATTTTCTCTCTTTTATGTTACAACCTAAATCTTCACCTCTGCCTTATAAGTGAGAGGCCTAATATACTTCAATCTCTCTAAAGGTTTCAACTCAATCCCTACATTCTGATTTCTCTCTGAAGGATTCAGAGAAACTCCTGACTTACTGACTCCAACAGGCAGGAACATCTTTTCCTGACTGGGAACTGGAATTCCAGACCCTGGCAGTGTGAGGCATGCAGGACCATCCAGACTGGGATCATGGGGGCTGGGATCACATGGACTGGGATTGTACAGACTGGGATCACATGGTCCGGGACCATATGGACCAGGATGGCTGCACTGGAGTGATGGGAACCAAGGCGGTCCCACCCCACTCAGGGCTCCCTCCCAGTCCTGCCCAGTCCTGTGCGGGGACAGAGCCAAAACTCCTCGAAATGAACACTGAGATCTCGGAGCGCTCCCAGTTGTCACAATCCGCTATTAATGCAGAACGGGGGTCGTGATGGTTCATTTGATCTCAGAGGTGCAAACAGGCAAAATGCAGGGGACAAAATCAGTTTATTCAACAACAGCAATGCATTTTTATTAAATGCCAACAACTCAGTGGTGATAGAGGGGAGAGATATAGGAAACAAAGTATAGAGAAAGAAAAAGAAGGGGATGGGAAAACAGCTACCAACAAGATGAGTTGGACGTCTTCATGGGCCAGCCAATAGACGAGTCTTCATCCATGGGGAGTACTCAAGGGTCTTTCCCAGAGGATCGCTCTTTTATAGTCCTTCTCCAAAGCAAGTGGCTTCTGGCCAAGAGGTGGGGAGATTTATGGATCATTGTGTGGTGCTGCGGGAGACAGGTACGGTCAAGCAGTCCTCAGTTGGTACAGCACAATCTCCAGTTGGTACAACACAATCTCTGGATGGTGCCACGACAGCACAGTCCAGTGAACACAATACACCAGCACACAGTCACCTGACAAGCATCCATCTTGGCCAGGCCAGGAAACCATTGTCCAGAGTCAACCTGGGTGGGGGTCCTCAAGGTCTCCTTGCAGCAGTCAGGAGGCAAAAACAAGGGAAACTTCGGACCGACCCTTACACCGGTGTCGGTCTCTGTCCCCATCCTGGTCTTGGTCTCAGTCTTGGAGCAGTCCTGGAGCACTCCTGGTGCTGGTTCCAGTCCTGGTCTGAATCTCAGTCCCAGAGCAGTGCTTGTCTTGGTCTCATTCTTGTTGGATCTCAGAAATATGGAGTTTTTGAGTTTTCTGTGCTTCTTGGCACAGGCACCCTGGAAAACACTGCACTGGACTTGAAACCTTGGAGAAGATTTGTAAATATAAAAAATGAGTTAGAGATCACAAATATGTAGTAAGTTAGATGTGTGTATTTTCACTGGATGATGGGTTTTAAATTTGGGATTTTTTATGTATAGTGGTAGTTAGGGGACAAGATGGAGAATTTTGGGTGGTGTCTTTCTTCTTGTTCATCTTCTTCTCTTCCTGCTTCTTCACAGAAATTAGGTAGTTACCTTTAGATTGGTCAGTTGAAAGTCACTCTAAGGGTCATGGGAATCTATTGTTGGGTTAAAAGTACAAATAATATAGGTGTAAAACTTTTATTGGTCTGTTTTGCTTTAAAAGGCCTTGAAACAGGCTCAGGTTGGAGCCATTTTTCCTACTTCTTGCAGGGCGCTAGGAGTGCTGTTACGCTTTCTATAAATTTTGATAAGATATAATAAACATTGAAGTTCGAACACAAGAATCTGGCTCGACTGCCTTTCTAATAATCCTGGACCCGAACAGAAACAGATGAGACTGATGACAAACCACTAATTAGTGGTGCAGAACAGCCCAGAAAAGCCTTGGAACACTCTTACAATTCTCAGTCCTACAGGGGTGCCAGTCTCGGTGCCAGTGCCGGTTCTGGTTTCAGTCTTGGTCTCAATTTTGGTCTTGGTCTTGGTCTCGGTTTCAGCCTTGGAGCCGTCTCAGTCCCAGGGCTGGTACCAGTGCCGGTGTTGATCCTGGAATGCTCTCAGTGCCAATTTCAGTTTCAGTCCCCATCCCACAACGCTGCCAGTCTCAGTTCTCATGCCAGTGCCAGTCCCGGTGCTGGTTCGGGTGCCGCTCTCAGTCCCAGAGTTCTCCTGGTGCCGGTGCTGGTTCCAGTCCCAGAGCAGTTCTGGTCCCATTTTTGGGTGTTTATCGATGATTTAGAGAGAGACAGGGACTGCTGACTCGTGATCAGAATCCAAATTTATTGTGAGCTATAGATGTTTATACACCATTTTTATCAAGGCACTAATTTTTTACAACATTCATTAGGTTAAACATCACCCAGACAAACTTTACATTTCTACTTATTTAGTTCAATCTTCTTTCCTGTTGCCACTCTTGATCCAGTCTTCTTGGACTCTTCAAAGCTCTGTTTGCTCTTACCAAGACATCTTGGTTATCAACCTGCAAATGCCAATTAAATCCACAGTGCTCTCTGTCTCAACTTCCACAGTGCTGCTCTCAGGCTGGGTCCTATAGCGGTGCCAGTCTCGGTGTTGGTGCCAGTTCCGTTTTCAGTCTCACTCTCAATGTCGGTCTTGGTCTCAATCTTGGAGCGATTCTGGTCCCAGTGTTGGTCTTGCTGCCAGTGTTGGTCCTGGAATTCTCTTGGTGCCAATCTCAGTCTCAGTCCTGGAATTCTCCTGGTGCCAATCTCAGTCTTAGTTCTGGTGCCAGTGCCAGACTCAGGGGTGGTCCTGGTCCCAGAGCAGTCCTGGAGCTCTCCCGGTGCTGGGCCTAGTGTCAGTGTTGCTCTCAGTCTTGGTCCCAGTTCCAGTTCCAAGACCAGTTTCAGTCACAGTCTCAGTCTCAGTCTCAGTCCTAGTCCTAGTCAGTTTTGAGGCGTGCTGGTCTCAGTTCTAGTGTCGGTTCCATTCCCAGGCTTGGTCTTGGTCTCTATTCTGATTTCAGTCTCATTCTTGGTGCTTGTGCTAGTTCAGGTGCTGGTCTCATTCACAGTCTCGGAGCAGTTCTGGTCCCAGTGCTGGTGCCAGTGTTGGTCCTGGAGTGCTCCCAGTGCCAATCTCAGTCTTGGTTCTCGTGCCAGTGCCAGTCTTGGGTCTGGTTGTGGTCCCCCTCTCAGTCTCCATTATGGAGTTCTCCCAGTGCCGGCCCCAGTTCCAGAGCAGTCCTGAAGCTCTCCCGATGCCACGGTCCCAGTGTTGGTGTTGGTCTCAGTCTTGGTCCCAGTGCCAGTTCTGGGGCCGGTCTCAGTTCTCAGTCTTGATCCCAGTCCTAGTTCCAATTCTGCAGCGGTGCTCGACTCAGTTCTGATGTCAGTTCTGTTCTTAATCTTAGTTTCAGTCTCCATTCTGATTTCAGTCTCAGTCTTAGTACTGGTACCAGTGCTGGAGTTGGTATTGGTCTTGGTCCCAAAGATTTTAGTCCCATTTAGACGATTTCATACCAAACTGGAGAGTTTTAGGCTGGATTTTAGGCCCCTTTGGACAATGTAATGCTCATTTCAATGATTTTAGACCCTTTGTGTGGATTTGAGGCCCATTTGGCTGATTTTAGACCATACCTGGTGGATTTAGGCTGCATTTAAGGCCATGTTTTGATTTTAGGCCAAACCAGACCGTTTTAGGACAGTGTGGCCCTTTGGCCCCGCCCCTT